TAAAATATCGCATTTTAACGATGCTGTTTGTCTCCAGAGGGAGGAAATGCTGATTTCCAGGGGTATCTACAGCTTTAGAAAGCACTGGCTTAGATTAAAACATTAAATAGATGTCTTACATCAACCTGTTATTTGGTGTGTTTGGTTAGAACACGAACCTTGACACATTTTTCTTCCATTTTTCCAGACGTCCTTTTTCCTCTCTAATAAAAATCACCCCAAAGCTTCCTTCTGTGTAGAAGTTAAGGATTTCAAAATGTGGGAAAGATACTTCAAGTATTTGATTTTCTACCCAAGGCAAACAAAAATAAGAGTCTTCAAATACAGTTGTGTTTTATCAGCCTTTGAGCTCTTGAGGTGCCCTTGTTGTCAGAAGCCTTTTGGCTGAACTGCTGCACCTGCTGGATAAATATCTGCCAAAAAAACCCCAATTATTCCTTTGCTTTCTTATTTTCTGATCAAATGTACCTTGGCATTCTCTGGGTTTGCTTTACTCTGTCAGAAGAGTAACAAATTCATGCCCTGTGGAAATAAATCCCAGAGTGGGATCCACGAGGCTTTTAGTGAATTATTTTGCTTTCAGGAGTTATTTCCAAAAATCAGTCATCTGTTGGTGCCAATTAGTTCTCCAGAAGGACTTTGCAGACTTGAGTTTGATGATTGGTTTTTCCACACTTGTTTCCCTGTTATAAAGAGAGTTGGTCGTGTTTTATACATTATAAAGGGAACTGGACCAGGAAATAGTTCTTGCAATGAATCCTAAAATCAAAGTCAGGATGAGCCATTGGACGGCCAAACAGACGTTGGTTGCCCAGCTGAAAGAGGATTTACTTGTTCTGATTTCTTCTTGACATAATCAAATATTAGACTGATACCAAACATCAGTTTCAGGGTTTTCAGACAGATTTGTAGAAGTTGTAGCCCTTGGGAAGTGATTGATAAAGTGACACAGAACAGGGAGAAGGGAAGGTCAAGTCCAAAGGGTGTGTTTTGGTTTTGCTGTAGTTTGTTTTGCTGTAGTTTGTTTTGTTTAAAGTGTTTAGTCGTATTTTGGTTTTATTTTAAAAATGATTGCATTTTAGTTTGTTGATTCTGTTTCTTCCCCCTGCCGTGTTAGGAGTCTCCAGGCGGAGGACAGAGGTTTAAATTGTCCGTGTTCTGGGTGGGCACCAGGCAGAGGGACTGAGAAGAGGTTTAAACTCCCTAAATCTGCACTGGACTGTTTGGGGAGGGGGGGGTTGGCATCATTTTAGTGACTTGTGAGGTTTCCTCAGTTCCCACATAATTCCTGTGCCTTCCCACTTTCCCTCTGTGCTGGAAAACATTCCAGGCCACACTTGCAGCCCTGATTGTGTCTTTTTAGCCTCAACGCTTTGAGGGTTGAGAAATATTTTAGTGAGAAATAATTGAAAATATCTAATTGAGAAATAATTGAAAATACGGCTTAAATGACCAGAGAAAAGTCCATTTTCTGAGGTATCAGAGTAATTCCTTCTCCCGCAGTGTTGCTGCTCACCTATCTTTTGATACCTGAATTTAATAATAATAATAATAATAATATTAATGATGGAACTAAAGTTGTGCCCATTTATCCATCCCAATTTCTCTTTGTGCTGTTTTTCCAGGCCTTGCTCCTCTGCAGAGCCCCCAGGACCTCCAGGTGCTCGTGGTGAACACCAATTTCAGCCTGAGGTGGAGCCACTCGGGGAGCCAGCCCGGGGTGACGTTCTCGGCACAGTACAAGTGGTGAGGGGGGATTTGTGAGCCAGAACTCCTGACACTGCTCTGTGCAGAGGAGCAATTGAATTCATAACAAATTGAATTGACTTTGCTGCCTGATGCAGCCGCTCGGGGAGACAAATCTTGAAATGAAGTGGGATCCGAGTCCTGGCCCTAATTTGTCTATAATTTATGTCTAAAAGTAGATTGACCTGTGATAAATACAGTGATAAACACACAGCAACACACCTGCTAATAATAATAATAATGCTTAATTCTGGAGTGGTTCTTTGAGGAGATTAACTGGAACTCTTGGAAAATTCATTTATGTAATTTATTTTTAATATGATTTTTTTTCCTCTGGGTTTTTTTGGTCGTGGCCACACACACACATAGAGAATTTCAGGGAATTTGCAGTGTAGCTTTTGACTAATTTGATCATTAATCCACATTTCTCATCTGCAAGTTTTAATCCCCAGAGGAAACAATTCTGGTTTTGTTGTGAAATGTCTGCCTGGTTTTCTGCAGTAGTTTCACACCCCAATATTTTTGCTTGCATTAGCACATACATTTGGTATTTTTTGGCACTTTCCTGCAAGGTAAATAGCGAAAAACATTTCTAAGATAAAGTTACTCAAATTCTGAGGAACCTGGGCTGGTGGAAGGTGTCCCTGCCCATGGCAGGGGGTGGAATGGGATGATTTTGAAGGTCCCCCCCAATCCAAACCATTCCATGATTCTGTAATTATGGATTTTTAAAAAATAGCTCTTCTTCCTCCATATGTAAAAGAGAAACAGCTGCTTTGAAGGCAGTTTTATTTTAAAAAATAAGAAGGCAAGGTAGGAGCTGAGGATAAACCATGACTGATTCAAGTCTGTGCCTCTTTTTTTAGGTCAGGATGTTTTTAATCTCTCCCTGAAGTGTCTCTTTCTTAGCTAAAGTGTGGATGTCTGTTAACAGAAGAGAAAAACAGTTTATGGAACACTAATTATTGAACTCCAGCTGACACCTTTGTGTTTTTATTTCCCCCTGATCTCCATTCCTGGCTCACGTTAAAATTGAGGGCTTTTTTCTGCTTTTATGCTCTTTTAAACACTTCCATCAAGACTTTTTTAAATGTCTTCCAATGGATTAAAAAAATCTTTGCCAGACTAGGAGAATATAATAATATTAAGGGTAAACAATTCTGTAAAAATCCTTATATAATTCTATGATTTAGCTGTTCTTTGATGGTGTTTTCTGACCCTGTGTCTTCACATGGTGCATAAAGCAAACTGCTGTCAGACTTTGCAGGTTGATTGTTAACCAATAAATTAATAGTTAAAATGAATTCATTAAATGGTAACGCGAATTCCAGGAGAATTCCTAAGGAGGTGGCACTGGTTACAGTGGTGCTGGGGATAGAACAGCATCAATGGGGTGTTGTTGATTAGAAGAGAAAAAAAAAAATTAAGAAGAAGAGGAAAAAAAAAAGAGAGAAAGAAGATAGATAAGAAGAGACAGATAAAGAATCAAAGAAAAATTATCCCCAGGTTTAAATTGTGGGTTGGTGTTAATTTGGGGGTGTTTCCTTTCTTGCAGGTCGGAGAGCAGTGGAGCAGAGTGGCAGGAGCTGCCTGGGTGTGGGAATGTCTCTGGCACAGAGTGTGACTTCTCCTCAGCCATAACTCACTATTATGACCCCCACTTTGTGCGTGTGAGGGCCCAGCGAGGGGGCCGAGTGTCCCCCTGGTCCAGGATCCTGGAAATGGTCCCGGATCACGAAGGTACAAACCCTGTGTGGGCCGTGGGTTTGCAGGGAAATGTCCTTTCCACAGCAGGGCAGGGGGGATTGTGCCCCTCTGAGACCCCCCTGCAGAGCTGCTCCAGCCCTGGGAACAGCACAGGGAGCACATGGAGCTGCTGGAGAGAGCCCAGAGGAGGCACCAAGAGGATCCCAGGGCTGGAGCAGCTCTGCTGGGAGGAAAGGCTGGCACAGCTGGGATTGTTCAGCTGCACAAGAG